TAAAAAAAAAAAAAAAAAAAAAAAAAAAAAAAAAAAAAACAAGACCCAATTATATGTTGCCTACAAGATACTCACTTCACTTGTAAAGACACACATAAACTAATAGTGAAGATATAGAAAAAGATATACCACACAAACTGAAACTAAAAATATTTTTATTGGATCTAAAGGGAGAGATAAACCTCAATACAGTAATATCTGGGGACTTCTCTCAGCATTGGACAGATCATCTAGACAAAAAAATCAAAGAAACTTTGGATTTAAACTGCACTATAGACCAAATGGACCATACAGAACATTTATAGAACATGTCATCCAACAACTGCAGAATACACATTCTTCTCATCATTTCATGGATCATTCTCCAGGATAAACCACATATTAGGGCACAAATCAAGTCTCAAGAAATTTTTAAAAGATGGAAAACATATCAAGTACCACATGGAATAAAACTAGAGATCAATAATAAGCAAAATTTTGGAAACAGTGCAAATACATGGAAATTAAACAACCTGGTCCAGAAGAACCAATGAGTCAAAGAAATTAAGCAAGAAATCAAAAAAAGTTTGTCATTTTATGAAATATTGTGTTGGTCTTGGTCTGCCATGAACTATGTGTATTTCTAAAAAAAAAAATGTAAAATCTCTCTTTTTAAAAATTAAAGTATTTCAAATGGGAAAAGGATGGATTTACAGTAACAAAGTATTTTTATCTGTGGGGATTTCAATTATAAATAAAGTTATTTTAATAGCTGTAAGTGTATTTTATTACAAACCAGAAGCAATTAGTTTTGGCCAAAATAAGGATAAACATCTCTGAGAATATTCTTAATAGCATGTGAGACTAGACCAGAATCAACATATTTCTAAAACATCAAGATAAAGTTTAGCAGTGTAAGCACCACCAATAATTTTTTAAAAAGCACAGCAACTGAGCAAGCAGTAACTGAAGGTATCTGTGTTCTTATATAATGTGGTACTACAGCCTTTATTCCTAGGCTCATTCCCAATCAAGTTATAACCAAAGCTATATAATTCATATCATATTACCTAATTAATTACTTTATATCCAGTTTGTGTCTTGAAACTTGTACCCTAAAAGGAATGCTGTATTTATTAAGTAAGATCATATGAAAGCTACCTATATCTCAGGTTTGATTTTATATAGAGTTATGATAGCCAATTTAAAAAGACTTGTCTTTTAAACAACTTTGTGTCTTGGTTTTTCCTCTTCACATTGGATTATAAGCATTTTCTCCTATTACTACTATTGTAGACATCCCTTTAACAGCTACAAAATATTGCATTGTAGGACTGTATCATAATTTCTAAACTGTACCCTACTGTGGGACTTGTACGTTATTTCACATATCCTCATGCATATCTTTTGCATAAAGACTTTTCTTTATTGTGAGCTACTTCCTTTGGATGGATTTCCCAGAATTAGAATCACTAGACCAAAGGAAATGAACACTTTGAGGATCTTGATACATAATTCCAAAGTACTTTCCTAAAAGGCTCTAGCAATTAGTGTATGTGAGAGCACATCTTTCATAACACTCTTGTAAACATCGATCTAGTTATTTTCTGTTTTTAAAAAGCACATGGATGAGAAAATATGAATGGAACAATAGCATTCACATTTTATCTTGATTCCTCGTCCTGTTGATAAAAATAAACCTAATTTTTTTAATCATAAAAGAAGTTTATCTTATAAAACATTAACTTGGGCATTCATTATAGAGTGAAACGGCTGCTTACATAAAAAACTCCTAAGTTAGTACCACTGTTCAAATATATATAGCAATTAACATATAAAAACCATTGAATTATACACTTTGAATTAGTGAATTATATGGTATGTGAATTATATCTTAATAAAGCTATTTAAAAAGTCATCTACCTACAGCCATTCTTTAGAAAACCTAACTACCAATTTCTGCACCCTGTGCTTGCTATCAAATCATTGAACTCAGAATTCTTAACCATTAGTGTTGATATTGTTTTTTTCCAAGAAATACGAATAATTAGTATTTATTTATGGCTTATTTTTAAATATTCCTTTTTAAGAACTTTAATTAAATGAGGCATTGGCCAGGCCATAGATAAAATGAGAGATGGAGCCAATTATTCTGTTCTTATGGTGATTTATATAAGATATATATTTATCATTTTAAAATGTCATTTTCATTATAGCTATTTTTCCACCTCGGATTTTATCTACTCGACCAGGACAGAAAAGTCCAATTATTATACATGATGACAACTCCTCTGACAAAGACAGAGAAGATAGCATCACTTATACTACTGTGGATTGGAGAGATTTTATGTGCAATACATGGCATCTAGAACCCACTCTTAGGTAAGTAACAGGTGTACATATTTTATCCATATCCTAAGGGATTATTATGAGAAAAAGGTTAAGAATAATGTAGGTTAAATATGGTTTCCAAAAAATATATTTAGAAGTTAGTCACATGTAACTTCTATAGCTTCCAACTGCTATTTTTGCTGCTCCTTTCTGCTTTTGTAAGTGCTTCTAGGACAGGGAAAAGAAGCACAAACATGGAGAATAAATAGCTCAGCACTGATTAGCTGTCCACTGTGTGACATTCTGACAGTTAATAACTAAAATGTGAGAATAACTCCCCTTCCACTGTTGCTGTTATTTTTTCACCTTCTCACTGGGATGACGCTGGCTGGTATTGAGGTAGCTATGGTAAACTGTTTTGTTACTTAGTTTTGGAAGATGCAGTAGCAGTCATCCATCATCTTTAAGGAACTGTTATAGCTTCTTACAGAATATATGTTATGATAATGTAATAGAACCTACAGTGTCACAGTGTCCTTCTGTCTGCATACCAAGCAATATAAAGCCATGCCTAAAATGCTGAATTCAGTGCTGTCAGATTCAAGTTCCCTTACTGAGTTGTGTTCTGCTATAATCATGATCCTAATTACATCCAACTTGTTTTCATAAGTATTTTCTAGTTTTAGTTATATTTATAGTAGTTGCTGTAACTAGTGATACTTGCTTTGTGAGTCTTTGTGATTAATACTCACAGCCTTCTTATTTTTTTCTCTTTCCTCTCATCTACTTCGTTAATCAACATATCATATAACTGTCTGAATCCTCGAATAACAGTATCAAAAAAAGTCCATTACACCCCAGCACAGCATTCTGCAAAACTATCTAGATTTTATTTAGATAAGATTATTATTGAGACATACTTATGCCACAGAATAATTCAAAAATAGCAAAATCTCCATTATACAATGGACTCTTGTAGAAGCAGAAAGTAATGACTTTGCGCTAGTAATTTGTATTCAGTAAAATTTGTTGTAACCAAATCAGCTGAACACTTTAGTATTAGTAGTACATATATTCATGAGAAATATTAACAGTGTCAGTATTTAGGAACAATATTAAAATATTGCAAAGGTTCCCAATACAGAAAACTGTTTGAATAATCAATGTTTTGTATTTATAAATCTAAATAATTAAAATGGAATTGACTAAATATTTTTTAGAGTGAATATATTTAAATTGAACATAAAATGAATTTAGTTTCAAATGAGTATAAAAATAGTTACCGTATTCCTTTTTTAGCAAACTAATAACAGAAACTAGTTAAGTAATATGGTATAGTGGTATAGAGCATGGTTAAGAACTGTGACTCGAAGCCCAGCTTTATCACTTAGTAGTTGAGTAGTCTAGGCCAAAAGACCCAAACATCTCTCCTCTCTCTGCCTCAGTTGCTTCTTATAAAAAATTTGAAAGATGGTATTACCCACCTTGTAGGTTGTTACACTGTTTACATGAATTAATTAATGAAAAATGCTTATAACTATTTGAGTTTGAGGAGATCAATGCTTAATATTCCCCTACTTGAGTTCAGGACCAATTAAAACAGTGGGAGAGAGGCAGCTGGGAATTAAAATGACAGTTTAAATACTGATAAAGCTGATAACAGAGAAGGTGGTTTCAATGTCTGGCAATGTTGGCTTTCTACTACAAAGTCCAGGTTTGGAATTACCTACAGGGCCTCAATGATGCAAAACTCAAAGTCGGGGAGGGTCCTGGAGTTGTGCAGTTAGCAGCCCTGTGTACTCATCTAGCCTCAGGCAGCACTGAATGTTCTCATGCTAAACTGTTTAGGAGCCTGCCTTTAAAAAACCTATGGTATAGAGAAATACACCAAAATGAGTGGCTCCTAAGAGAACATAGGGAGGAGGGTACTGAAAACTACATTACTCAGTTCCTCTGTTAACTTTGCCAATCAGATAAATCATCAACACAGGGGCAGAGAAAAACGAGGAGTGTTTCACTAATAGCTGTTCCTCTACATGGAAGGAAATATCAGGATTAGGGAGAATATGGTTCTCCCTTCAAACATGTTTAGCACATAGCACTCAGTAAATTTTAGACTTTCCTTCCCTGTCCCCTGCCGGTTATGCCACGTTTGTGAAATCTTTTAAAATTAACCAAGTGTCCTTTTGAATGTTTAAGATGACCATGTAACAGGCCTAAAATAAATTAGTCAGAATGACCTTCAGTAAACACTACTGTTGTGTGTAGACTGTCAAAGATATTTATAATCATGTGTATATTATTTTTTGAATGCTATTATTATAGTGAATCCAGGAATTTATGGGTTCAATTATTCAAATACACCTACTGAAAATATTTTGAGTATATTATGGAGGCTTAGTTATGTTGTTGACCTACCTTCAGGACTGTGCTTGGGCATTATACTCCTTAATAATTATCTATAATTATTATTTTAGATTAATTTCTTGGACTGGAAGAAAGATTGATCCAGTAGGCGTTGATTATATTCTTCAAAAATTGGGCTTTCATCATGCCAGGACTACTATTCCTAAATGGCTTCAGAGAGGAGTCATGGATCCACTGGACAAGGTTCTGTCAGTTCTTATCAAAAAGCTTGGTACTGCACTACAGGATGAAAAGGAGAAGAAAGGAAAAGACAAAGAAGAACACTAAAAAAGTAACTTGATCTGTGAACAAATTATGATTGTATCTGTTAAGTTTTACTACCCTGGAGTGTTTTTTTTAGCATAATTTTAAATATAACTAAAATAATTCTAGTTTTGTGGCCATTATATTAAAATTTTTTAAGTTAACCTGTTTATTCTAGTTCTACCAATCTGTGTACAGTGAAGTGTACTGCATGATAATGTAAATTTTGTGAAAAACTAGATTAAAATATGTAAATCTGTTCATTAGGGTTTATAACTGTATCATGTGCAATATGATTCCTGCATCTTTAAAATATTTGCAGAATAACTGTGAATTTTTTTGGTTATTGGCCATAACTTTTAGAAAAGATCTTGTTGATAATGTGATTTGGGGGTGTCATTAATTGCTTTTCCTTTTTTAAACACAGACTTGTATAAATACCTATTTGTATATTGTTTGAGTAATTGTTATGTGATTGTATACCACTATAATATTGTTTGTAATTATTATTATAAAGTCACAATAATGGTTTCAGTCTGTCATTGTTTTTTAATCTTTTTCTCCTTTGATAGCCTATACTTAGTTGATGCCCATCCTCTATCACAGTTATCAAATGCTTTCATAAAAGATGATGAGTACTTGTAAAAATTTAAAAATTATATAAAAATACTTACAATTCTTATATAAATTAGCTCAAGTAGGATACAATCAGGGAGAGGCACACCAGTGGCTTCAGAAATATTAGGTATTGTTCTGTTGCTTAAACTAGTGGTGAGTACACAGCTGTTCATTTTTATTATAGTATATTCCTTACATATGTGTTTGTATGCTTTTAGGCATATGAAGGTATATATATAATGTGTAAATGTTTTATATGTATTATATTCATATAAAACATATACTTACATGCATAAGAATAATAAAAAGAATTTAAAAGGACAGAAAGATCTAAAATAATATTTCTTATTCAAGCATAGCTAAAATGTTAATAACAGCTCAAGTTGGAAATCTAGCCAAGTCAGTACAGTCAGTTTAAAGATTGAGTAAACAGTAGAACTGAAGAACCTAGAACTAGAAAACACCTCAAGAAAGCCTCTGATACAGACCCTTGCATTTAGGAAGATAAGGCAGTATTATCTCTGACAGATTAAACAAACAAAAATACTCCAGAAGAGCCAAGGGACTTAGCCAAGGGCATATATCTAGTAAGTGTTGGTAGGGGAATTACCAATTTACTGTCTAATGTCACACAGCAACTTAGTAACACAACTAAAACTCTAGTTTTGGAGTCCTAATTTTGTATTCTTTTTGTTAGATCATCTTATCTGCCATCTGTCTGATCTCTGAATCCCCCTTCAGCTACCTTTGCCTATAATACCGTCATTCTATTGGTCAAGCCTACCAGAGAAGCAAATTCTATGTCTACTTTGGTTCTAGTGTCTAAGATAATACTGCCACAGTTATCAAAACAAAGTAAAAATCAATTAAAGAAATTAGTTCCATATTTGAGTCCGATTTCACGTGTTAATTCTCTCCTTCAAAGAAACATTATGCCAATAGTTCTAAGTAATAAAAATTTCCCATGACTTTCAATATTATTGATATAATTACCAAAAAGATGACAGATATAAACTTGTCCTGTTTCTGGGACTTACTATGATAATGCTATAGAAAAGAAAAGGGCAATTTAAAATACGTCTGTAACTATTCAAAATTTCTGGGGCTGTTAGACAAAGCTATGAGAAAACCAGCATATTTTTGCACTGCTGATGGGAATGTAAATTGTTACATCCTCCATGAAAGATAATTAAGCAATAGCTCAAAATTACAAAGGCATACAATCTCTTACTCAACATTCTCACTACTGGATATACTTGCATATGTGTAAAATAATTATATAAGAATGTTCATTTCAGTATTCTTTGTAATAAATGGTTGTAAACAATTCAAATGGACATCAATAGAAGTCAAGTTAAAATACTGGTTTGATAGACCCATTCAGTGGAATAGTATGCAACTGTAAAAGAAGAACAAAGATGCTCTCTAAGATTTACTCATAAATGAAAAATGCAGGATGCAGCTATCTAGATTATAAAGTTTCCAGTCTATTAAAATTATTTTTTCCTATCGTGTACCTTGTTCTATTTCAGTAAGTCACATGATAATCCAGATAATGTAAAATTTTCAATAACAGGGGCCGGCCCGGTGGCGCACTGGATAGTGCGCCGCTTGGGAAGCGCGGCGGCACTCCCGTCCGAGGGTTCGGATCCCACATACAGACCGGCTCCCACTCACTGGCTGAGCGAGGCACGGGAGCAACACCGAGGCTTGCGATCCCGTTGCCGGTCCCCAGTCCGGTACGGGGGCAACACTGAGGGTTGCGATCCGTTGCCGGACACGGAAAAAAAGACAAAAAGACAAAAAAAAATTTTTCAATAACATAACAAAATGTAAAGGATTTTGTTCTATTATATGTAAAGATTGAACTTCTACCCTCACTAAAGTGCTGATTTGCTAAGTATCTCTAGAGAGAACCATTTTTTAAAAAAAATTCCAGTCTGATGTAAAGCAATAATCTTGTAAAATACAGTAAGAATCAATTATTCAAAGTGAAAAAAAAAACTACACAAGGACATAGAAAATATAAGCTCTTAAATGTTTAATTATTAGATTCAATTGTTGTGTTCTGTCAATTACTATGAGTTTCTAAACATGTACTCTCAATTTCTGTACTTGTCACAGAGAGTAATGACTCATGAAGTGTCCTCAGTCCATGAACCACACTTCAAATAGAATTGCTTTAAAATATTCTCCATCTTCACGACAGAGTGGTATCTTCTAAAGTTTGATAGAAAAAACCTGATTACCTGTGTGGATTGGCCATTTTCTATAATAGAAAATGCCATACCCAGAATGCTTTGTGTCCTCTGCAGTCTGAGAGCTACTCATCCCTATGTCACTAGCACTATTCTAAAATCCATTAAGGAGAACCTCTAATTTTTTTTCTTTTGCAACCTCAGGTGTGGTGTATCCTTTGCCAAAACTGTCTAACGGATGGCTACATAATCCTCAACTGAGCAATAACCAGTAAGTTCTAGTTTGTGAGTTTCATCTGCTTTACCTGTTCAGGTCAGAGAGTCAAGCAACTCAAGGCCAGGAATGGCTTTGCACTTAAGTTCAAATAGCTTGTTCAGACAATGACAAGTAACAAACCCTTAGGAAAGCTCTAACAGGACTATCAGATGTTGGGAGGCATTTTTGGAGTAAAGTGCTGTTAAGAAGCACCAAAAAGAGCAAATGCTGTCAGGAGTAACAGCAAATAGAGATGGGTGATTAAGTGTACAACCAGTGGGCTACATTTGGGGAGTGGTGTTAGGAGGTAATAACAACAAAGCTCAGACTCTCAGAATGAATACACGTTGACTGATCAGGTCGAGTCACCCACCAAATGAAATGGTACAGGATAGACAAAGTTGCTCAACTAATTCTCCTTGATAAGCTCCTTTCCCCTGACTTCATGTTTCCATTTAGAGGGATTTCCACCATAATAATAACCCAGTTTCTCTTGAAACCCCTTAT